CAACTCAGCACCTCTGGTCAGTTGGTTGCTTATGGATACAAACTTCTTGTCAACTTAAGGGCTTGTATTTTGACCAGCCCCGTGAACTGACCAATCCCCTGTCAAGAGGCCACAGTGAGTTTAGGTGTTTAAATTTATGGCAGAGAGGCCAGCCAGCTCAGAAGCTTATAACAACTGTTTTGGGGGAGTTCCTAAGGGGTATTCTTGATAGATTTTCTCAGGTGACACAGGACATTCTCGGGGACTTACTTATAATTATAAAGGCGTTTTAGGAAAACATTGCAATTTTGGTAATAGCACAAGGAAAGTTGTTCCATGGAATCCCCCCCATCATTTGGAAAATAATGCACTTCATCATTCCTCAAAGTTAACAAGGAGATCCTATGAGTGTTTCATTGGAAAAACTGTATCACTCCATTTACCCTACATCCCTGATTTTGCCCCTGCAAACTCTTTTTTGGTCCCCAAACTCACCATTGCAAAGAACAGAATTCTGGGTCTGTCAAGGATCCCAGAAGTACTGTTCAGATGTGTTGTAAACTGAAATGTGCATCATTCTTCAGGGACGTCTTAGAAAGATGCTTGCACTGCCTTCAGAGGTGTATAGATCTAGAAGAAGATGGTTTTGAAAAACAAAGGCTTCACATGTTGTTAATTGTGTTTAGTAAAGGTTTAGATCAGGGTTCCTCAAACTTCAGCCGGCGGGCCACAGATATTTATCCAGGCCGCCGGGTGTTTTTGCCCCATTTTGTTTTTTACTTCAAAATAAGGTATGTGTACCGTACATAGGAATTTGTTCATAGTTTATTTTTAAAAAACTATAGTTCATCCCTCCAACGGATCTGAGGGTCAGTGAACTGGCCCCCTGTTTAAAACGTTTGAGGACCCCTGATTTAGATGATCTTGTAGCAATACCTTTTGATGTACCCATGCATAAATTTGAGCTCTCTAAAGGGAAGGAAGGTGATGTACTACTAGATGCCCTCAGGGTTTCCCTGAATAATCTATTTTTGTTCAGGAGGAAAAGCACTTACAGGCCTACCCCAGAAGTCATTGAACGTAGGAGATTTTAATGTTTCATGATACCAGGGTTTCCTGTGAGATTGAAAAAGTATTGTGGGAATGTTGTTCATTTTGGACTAAACAAGTAGGCATGAATGAAAACCACTCTCTGAGTTCTTCCCGCCTGCCGCTGGGATTGGACTCATGCTTTTGTACCTGGTATAATGGGAATGGCATTTCCTTATGGGGAGAAGATAACATTGAAGAATTATCACCTGATTTCAATGGCAATTTTTTTTTTACGTTCTAGCATCATGATTTAGTGAAACATTAAATGAGTAGTTACCTTGTACAAGTTGATGATAACGTCCAGTGTTTGTTTTATGACACTGTCACAATTTGACTATTTCTCAGCTATGAACTATTGATTTCACTTGCAGGTCCTTGGCCAAGGAGAAGAGTGGAGAGGTGGTGATGGAATCAATAGTATTGGAGGGGGCCAAAAAGTGAGATTGATGAAGGAAGTCATGGAGCAGTATGCCAGTGAAGAAGATCTGGTTGTATTGTTTACTGAATGGTAGGAGAATTTACTGCCTTACCTTTACATGCATTACACTCTGTGAGCATTTAAGGGCCTATATTAATCATTTTAAAATGTTGAAATGAACATTTCTATATTATATACTAAACTAACAACAAATCATTTTATTAAAAAGAGTTGAATATAAAGCCCTGGTCTAACATAGTTATATAACACAGTCAAAGCTTATATGTTTCTATAAATAATAATCATGAGAAAACCTAGCATAAGGTAGCACTTCTTTTGGAATTCACGGTTCTAACTTGGACTAAGAATTATGGGTAGTTTATCTATTGAGGATGGACATATAGTTGGTTAACCAAGAGATAGAATACTGTATGTACAATTATGTAGAGAAGTGAGTTATATGAAAGCATGTGTTAAGGAAGGAGAAATTGCTAATATGCAAATGCATTTTAACATAATCCTTCACCAAAGTGGCCACCAAACGTTTTCTCATTGTCTTAGTGGCTGAGTCCTGCTCCAACAGAAATATCATCAATTGGGTGACTTTAATGGATAGGGTTTCTTTTTTTTTTTTTTTAATCATATTATTAGGGACTCATACAACTCTTATCACAATCCGTATATGCATCAATTGTGTAAAGCACATTTGTACATTCATTGCCCTCATCATTCTCAAAACATTTGCTCTCCACTTAAGCTCCTGGCATCAG